AGAGGTTAGAGCACTCACCTTGAGCTGAAGAGCTGAGGGACAGGGCCCAGGCCCAGAGTTCAATCACCATGACCGACCAAAAAAAAAAAAAGATATTTAGTCAGGTACCATGGCTCAATCTGTAATCCTAGCTACTCAGGAGGTTGAGATCTGAGAATCAGTTCAAAGCTAGCCAGGGCAGGAAAAGTCTGTGTGACTCTTATGTCCAATTAACTACCAGAAAACCAGAAGTGGCACTGTGGTTCAAATGGTAGTATGGCTGCCTTGAGCTGAAGAGCTGAGGGACACTGCCCAGGCCCAGAGTTCAAGCCCCATGACTGACAAAAAACAAACAAAAAAACCCACGATATTTTTTGAGATTTTAATTTTTGTTGTATAGTTGAAGCTTGCCTTGAACTCATGCAACTGGCCTCAACCTTGATCTTCCTGTTTCAACCTCCAGAGTGCTGGGATTACAAGCATTTTACAAGCCTGACTTTTGCAAGATACTTATTATTTTTTATTTTTATTTTTTTTTAGATTTTATTGCCAAGGTGATATACAGAGGGGTTACAGTTACCGAGGTAAAACAGTGATTACATTTCTTGTCTAACTTGTTACCCTTTCCTTCATTCTTCTCCCTTTCCCTCCCCCTCACAAGGTACTTATTAAAGATACTCTTTGTTTAGCATATTGTAATCATGTAATATGTAAATACTTAAAACAATCTAATGTTCTCCAATAAGATGAATTATGCCTCAGATATATGCAATTGACATGTGTAAAAAATAATTATCTTCATGAAACAGTCTTACATACACAAATGAATGAAGTAATACTAGGAAGAGTGTAACAGGAAAGGAAATACAGCATGCATTTTATATGAGTGGCAAATCTGGTGGATATAATGGAAAACTAGAAGGTTACACACTTAACCTCTAGGGAGTCATACTGGAATAAGGCAGGAAGTGATTTTTATATCATAGACATTTATGTATCAATAGAAAAAATTAAATGAACATGTATCATTTATTTTAAAATAGCTTAAAGAGCAAATGAAATATAGTGCAAGTGACTGCATCTTTATATTGTGTCATTGTAAGGTAACAAGTTCATAATATTGGGGAAATCAATTCTTGTATTGGATAGCCACTTCATGAAGCATTGGCCCCCTGTTGAAACCATCAATCAGGTGCTGTTTACACCCTTCTTTATTTTACGGGCCTCCCTGTCTGTGGCTTAGCTAAGCTTTGTTGGCAAATACTAAAATGACTCTGTTCTAGTCTTATGTCATTTCTCTGGGAGTACAAACTGTCATTTAGGTTGCCCAACTGGAAATAGAAATTACATACCAATCTGCCTTGCTCTAAATCTTTGTATGGACAATCATTTCACAGGTATGTGATTATAGTTAAAGTGACAGTTCTATAAGTACAACCTAATGCTTCAAGTAAGATGGCTGGCCAACTCTTCAACAGATTAAGTGAAACTGAACAAACTAAATGATTAATAGAATTCCTTTCAGCATGACAAGTAGACTTTAGATTTTTCTACATCATCAAACTTAAGTACTGTTATCAATTTTAACTTATAGAGAGATGATTAACATATGATTGCCTGATGACATTTAGTACAAACCAAAGGCCAGTTTTGGTCCCAGCTTAACACTTAACATTTTCCCTCACTGCCATCAATAATATGCTTAATTCAACTCAGACAAAGCAAAAATAGTAATTCTTAGTTTGCTATCTCATCTCTCAGTTGTTACAAGTGTTGAATCTATGATAAACTCTGAGATAGAATAAAAAATTTATAGCTCTAGGGGAAGCCAAGCCACTGTTGAGTTAAAATTTAAAAGTAATTCCTGTTAGTACTGCTTTACATCTTTTTTTTTTTTTTTTTTTTTTTTTGTCAGTCGTGGGGCTTGAACTCTGGGCCTGGGCGCTGTCCCTCAGCTCTTCAGCTCAAGGCGAGCGCTCTACCACTTGAGCTACAGCGCCACTTCTGGTTTTCTGGTGGTTTACTGGAGATAGGAGTCTCACAGTCTCTCCTGCCCGGGCTGGCTTTGAACCGCGATCCTCAGATCTCAGCCTCCTGAGTAGCTAGGATTACAGGCGTGAGCCACCAGCGCCCGGCTTTTTCCTTTTTCTTCTTAAACTGAGGTTTGAACTCAAGGCCTTGGGCTTGCTAAGCTGGCACTATCATTTGAGTTATGCTTCCAGCCCTACTCTAAATCTTACATTATAATGTTTTTTATTCTTTCCTGAGTATTTTGTAATAGTTATTATTTTATCAGATAAATGCTAGCACTAGTCCCATCCTTCAAGTAGGGCAAGGGCCACAAAGAGAGAAACGAGTTTGCTTCTAATTGGGTTGCTACACATTCAGGCATATTATTTGTACAGGGCAATCATCTGTAGATGTTGTTAAGGACATTAATAATGATTGCTCTAAGTTACAGGTGAACTTTTTTTTTCTTTTGTCTTTTGTGGGGCTTGAACTCAGGGCCTGGGTGCTGTCCCTGAGCTGTTTTGCTCAAGGCTAGCCCTCTACCACTTTGAGCTACAGCTCCACTTCTGGTTTTTGACTGGTTAACTGGAATCTCATGAAGACTTTTCTGCCCAAGCTGGCTTTGAACTGTGATCCTTAGATCTCAGCCTCCTACATAACTAGGATTATAGGCTTGAGTCCCCAGTGCCCAGCTACAGTTGAATTCTTGAGGGTCTTTTTCCCTTAGAGCTGAGCTCTTTCTTCAGATCTACTTTCCCATTATGATAATTTTAGAACTCATACTGTGCTGAAGATGACTGAGCTGTTTGTCTGAAGACAGTTGGCTGTCTACATCAAACTAATGACTTGGAAATTAAAGGCTTTGAAATACATTCTCAACCTCCTGATTCATGGCCTATTGGTAATGCAAGTAATCTGAAGTCTAAAAATTAACTGCCTCACAGTGAACTGGAAAGGGCAGCACTATGACTAATGCCACGCCACTGATCTGGTCTGCCAGGAAAGGTGAGTAGAGAAACAATATTATCTTCTTTCTCTGTTAGCTTTAGGCACTAAAATCTTTTTGCTGGCCCTATATGACCTATTTGGCACCGTGAATCTAATCTAATCCAGGCGGCTATTTTTCAATGTTGTTTCCTTATGAGAAACTTTATGTTGTGACTTTCAGTTTGAAAAATAAGTGAATGAAAGAAAATACAAATGAAAAAATATTCCATTGTACAAATATTTTATTTACTCGTTCATATTATTTTGCCATAATTCTGCTATAAACATGGGTGTACATGTTTGCATCATTTTCCCTTTTTTAAAAAAAATTGGCCGGGTGCTGGTGGCTCACGCCTGTAATCTGAGCTACTCAGTAGACTGAGATCTGAGGATGGCCTTTCAAAGCCACCCAAGGGGGGGAAAGTCCCTGAGACTCCTCTCCAATTAACCACCAGAAAACCGGAAGTGGTACTGTGGCTCAAGTGGCTGAGTGCCAGCCTTGAGCTGAAGAGCTGAGGGGAATGGGCTGAGAAGGTGGCTCAGTGGTAGAGCGCTTGCCTTGCATGCATGAGGCCCTGGGTTCGATTCCTCAGCACCACATAAGCAGAAGGGGAAAAAAAGCCGGAAGTGGTGCTATGGCTCAAGTGGTAGAGCACTAGCCTTGAGCTGAAGAGCTGAGGGACAGCACCCAGGCCCAGAGTTCAGGCCCCATGACCAACCCCTTCCCCCCGCCAAAAAAAAAAATTGGAGGGAGATCCTGGAACTGCTGGCTCATAGGGTAGATCTGGAACGGTGTTCTACAGTACAACACGCTGAGCCAGTCACAAAAGGACACACACAGTTCCATTCAGAGGTTGCCAAGAGAGGTGTGAGGGGGGAAACCAATGCAGGGATACCGGTCAGTGAAGTTTCAGTTTTGCAAGTGGACCTACGTAATCTGGACCTCAAGGTAAAGTCAGCCCAACGAATTACGTACCTAATGCCACCAAATTCACACTTAATCATGCTTAGCGCGGTAAATTCTGGTATGTTTTATTACTTTCAAATATGTGCGTGTGTATGTGTACCGGTTCCGGGGCTTGGAGTCAGGGCCTGCTCTACCACTTAAGCCACAGCCACCACTTCCGGGTAGTGTGTGTGTGTGACAGTTTATTGGAGAAGAGTCTCACGGACTTTCCTTGCCCAGGTTGGCTTCGAACTTACGATTCCAGGCGTGCCAGCAGCCAGGTTTGGCCTCGGAACCAACACATTTACGGAGGGCAACCCTTGGAGGACGACGACCCGGAGTGGCGGGCCCGGGGCGGCTCCGCAGGCAAGGCAAGCCCGCCTCGCTCCCCAGCTCCCCTGCCTACGGGATCTCCGGGCTCGGAGCACAGTTCTCCCGTCACAGGAAAGCCACGAAATTCTCCTTTCACAACTTCCTCCCGGGCAAAAAATAAAAAAGTCTACCACGTGATTCCCGCCTGCCCGGCCCGCTCCTCCCCTACCAACCACACTTTTCAGATCCCCGTTTCCTAAACATTCCACGGGCCCCGAAAGGTGAGCCCCAGCCACGGCCCCTCCAGCCACGGCCCCTCCAACGGCCGGGGGTCGGGAACCTCCCGTCTAGCACCCGAAGATGAAGGTGGGCGGGACCGTCCTCGAACGCCCCGGAAGTCACTGCCTGCCTCGCTGGAGGAGGCTCAGGGGAGCGTTTCGCGGCTAAGGATTGGCGGGCAGGTGAATGACGTATTACGTGGGACGACGTGGCTCCGCCCCTGCGATCATCCCAAGCGCGGTTAGCGTGGGGCGGGGCGGCGTGTGTGGCCCCCGGGTGGCCATTCCCCGGAACCATCCCCGGCCTGGGGTCAGGTGACCCTCGGCTGAGCTCGTGGGAGGAGGGGGGGATGTGGAGGGGAGGGAAGAGGGCGTGAGGAAGGAAGAGAAAGGGCGGAGGGGGGGTGGGGGTGGGAAGAGAGAAGGGCGGAGTAGAAGGGAGAGGGAGGGGAGAGGGAGGGGAAGGGGGCGGGGCGGGAGCGTGTCACGTGATTCGGCATGGAGGCGGTGGCCGGGAGGAGCCGCCGGGGCAGAAGCCGCACTTGTTAGTGTTGGGGGAGGAGGGGGCCGGCGACGCCGACACCGTCAGTCAGGGACGCGGCGGCGAAGGCAGCCAAGGGGGGGTGGGGGTGGGGGCGAGACCAGGCTCCGACCCCCGGCCGAGGGGATGAGGGGAGCATGGGCGCCAAGGAGTCACGGATCGGATTCCTCAGCTACGAGGAGGCGCTGAGGAGAGGTGAGGGGGAGGGGTCCGGGCGAGCCGCCGGGGAGGCCGGCGGCGGGCCGCCGGGTGGGGAGGGGGGTGGGCGACCGTGCCGGAGGGGAGGTGGAGGGCGTGGGGCGTCCACGGCGGAAGGGAAAGCAGGCCGCGGAGCTGGGCAGCATTCTGGTCGGGGGGCGAGCGGTGTTTGGGAATCGGGGGCCGGATGGAAGGAGGCGAAGCTCTCGCAGACAGGAGGGTGTCAGGCGCTGGCCGGGCAGCGCTCGTGCTCTCCGGTGGCGGCGTTGTGCTGGCCGTGTCCAGGGGGAGTCCTTTCTCGGGAGGGGGTGCCTTCAGTCTTTCCAGCCCCCCTCATCATCCTTCACTGCCATTTTCTATCACTCCTTCGGAAAAACCCCAGCAACATCCTTAAGCTCGTCCATAACAGCCTTGGCTGGAAGGGATTGGGGAGGCGGCTGCAAAGCTGGCTGTTCCCCCCCCCCCCCCAACCATGAATCCCTTCCTATTGGAGAGCCTTTGCTTTTTCAGAGGGCCTTGTCCAGTCTCTTGAGGGCTAGACCATCCATCTCTTCCGCTCGCCCCTCACCCTGTTTGTGCTGACTTTGACAAGAACGACCTGAAATGAAGTTGTGTTCGAGGTGAGATGAGACTGGACAGCTGGTCTGGCCATAAGACCTTGTCTTGGGTTTCTTCTCCTCGACATTGATCAGAGGCGTTTTACTGCACTTGATTCCCAGTTCTCACCCCCTCTCTTCCATAAAATGGCATTCAGACATCCAGCATTGTGTTACTGTGTTATAGCTCCCTTTAGAGACTGGCCTTGCTGCCAGTTACAGCCTGCTGCTGCTATTGGCTCTAATGCACAGAGTGTTAACAGCCCCAACCCCCTACCACTTAACTGATACCGATGTCCATGCTTACCAGAGCACACACTAACTGGAAGTGTCTTTTTTGCACAGTTCATGGCTGGAATGTGACTTAATTTTTTTCATGACCGGGGATTTAAGTATGTGTGAATCTATTTCTTTTAGACATTTAATGGATTTTCTTGGTTAGAAGTGAAAAGCATTAAGCAGATTAGGTGCTAGGCGTTATTATTAACAGGTTTCAAAGTCCCAAAACCAGCCATGCTCCAGGTGGTTTTAGTAGCTAAGGATATAAAATGAAAATTAGATCAAAGGACAGGCATTTAACATGAGAATTTAAGAGTGAATTCATGCTCATATAGATAAAGAAGAGGAATAAGTTCTTCAGCAGAACATTACCCGAATAAAATACAGAATTTAGATGTTTTGGTTATGGGTCTACAAGAATAACAAAAATATGCCTTTTGTCGGGTTCCCTCCCACTCCCTGCAGAACAGTATGATGATTGTCCTTAAGCACAATCTCACTTGAACTTTTTTTCCCCTTGCTTCAATATGAAAAATATTACAAATTCTTGATGTGTTTCCAGCCCTTCTTAGGCTAGTCATTTCCGGGATGCTGTTGAGCCTGACAGGTCTGGCCTCAATTAGGCAATGGCTTACATGACATGAAAGAGGGCATCATTCAAACTGATTTACAGCTTCAAGGTTCATAAGTGTTTCTGAAGTGTGAGGGTGTGAATACCAGTGATGTGTACATGGCATTAAGAATTTCTAAAATTAGACTTTTATTCCAATTCTAGCTTGCTTAATTTATATTAAACTGTGAATGTACTTTTAAAATATAAATGGAGTCAATGATGCGTTTTAAACTGATCAGATGATTTTCATTTCGTTTGCATCTTCCTGTTGCATTTTGAGACATATTTGAAAAGGTAGCAAAATATTTGTTAATGCCTGAGTAAAGTTTGTTGCATTTATTAGTTCTGCTGCAGAGGAAAAGTAAAACAAGAGGAGCAAGCTGATTAAAAAAGTATTTTTTAAATGCAAACCAAGAGCCTTTTTAAATAAAATGGTTAACTCAAACATAATACTGTATACTTTTGTAAATGTAAATGTCAAACTTCAATTTAGAATTTCTTTTTTTTTTTTTTGCCTGTTCTGGAGCTTGAGCTCAGTAACTGGGCATTGTTCCTGAGCTTCTTTTGCTCAAGGCTACTCTACCACTTTAGCTCAAGGCCAGGGCTCTACCGCTTGAGCCACAGTGCCACTTCCTGTTTTCTAGTGGTTTATTGGAGATAAGAGTCTCACGGACTTTCCTTCCCCAGGCTGGCTTTGAACCGAGATCCTCAGATCTCAGCCTTCTGAGTAGCTAGGATTACAGGCATGAGCCACCGGCGTCCGGCTTTAGAGTTTCTTTAAGACTTCAGAAAGTTCATAAAGCTTTTGCTGGAATTAAAAAATTGCTCTGAGAACCTTTTGAATGATTTAAATAAGTATGAATACCTGCATCAGTTCCATATATTTGTATTGTAGGAGGTGAATGGGGAGGATGAGATCTGATAAACATACATTACTCTAATGTGTGTTATATGAGTCATTGTACAAGTAAAAACAAGTTTGATAAAACTACTGAACTATTTGCCTCCTTGGCTTTAAAATTATTAACCAATGTCCACTACAATACCCATAATTAGGTAACATGAAAAAAAAGTAACATATGCTCTACAAACAAACATGAAATTTCGGCAATTTATCATACAGAACTGGACCTTAGAAATGAAATGTTAATGACAGATAACACTGGGTTTGAGTGAAAGGGCATTTTAGTGACTCTTGAGAAGTTCTAGGAATTAGGATGACTGGGTTTTCATTTTATTTTGGCTAGACCCCATGTCAATTGTATAAACCTTAATGGTTTTCTGAAAGTGTATGTATCTTTTTTTTTTTTTTTTTTAATTGTCAGTCATGGGTATTGAACTCTAGACCTGGGCTCTGTCCCTGAGCTCTTCAGCTCAAGGTGAGTGCTATACCACTTGAGCCACAATGCCACTTCTGGTTTTCTGATGGTTAATTGGAAGTTAAGAGTTTCACAGATTTTTCTGCCCTCATTGACTTTGAACCATGATCCTCAGATCTCAGCTTTCTGAGTAACTAGGATTACAGGCCTGAGCCACCAGGGCCTGGCAAGTGTATCTTTAGACATTTTTTTTTTCCTGATTCTGAGGCTTGAACTCAGGGCCTGGGCTCTGTCCCTGAGCCTTTATGTGCACAAGGCTAGTGCTCTACCACTTCAGCCACAGCACCACTTCTGCCTTTTTCTTTTTATGTGGTACTGAGGAATGGAACCCAGGGCTTCATGCATGCTAGGCAGATACTCTACCACTGAGCCACATTACCAGCCCAAGTATATGTATCTTTAGACCTTTTTTTTTTTTTTTTTTATAAAAATGTAATAAGGTAGTTTTTACTTTTGTCTTATGTTTATCTTTCTTGAGTATGTTGTATAGAAGTAAGAGAAGATTTGACTCATTAAAGAATACATGTGTTAGCTGGGCACCAATGGCTCACACCTGTAATCCTAGCTACTCAGAACGCTGAGATCTGAGGATCGTGGTTCAAAGCCAGTCCAAGCTGAAAGGTCAGTGAGATTCTTATCTCCAATTAACTACCAGAAAACCAGAAGTGGCGCTGTGGCTCAAGTGGTAGAGTGCTAGCTTTGAACAAAAGAACTCAGGGATAGTGCTTGGGCATTGTTTAAGCCTCAGGACTGGCTCAAAAAACAAAACAAACAAAACATGTGTTTTATTTGTTTATATTGTAGAAGGGAATTATGCTTACTGCACTTACTAGGTACTGGAAATTTAGCAGCTATGTTCTATTTTTTTTTTTTTTTAATCCTCTTGCATTAGTAGTTTGTTTTTTCTTTAAAATTGTGTTCTGTTGGGTGCCACCTCATTCCTGTAATCTTAGCTAGTCAGGAGACTGGGATCTGAAGATCCAGGTTTGAAGCCAGCCTGTGCAGGACAGTCTATAAGATGCTTACCTCCAATTAACCACCAAAAAGATGAAAGTGAAGCTGTGGCTTGAGTAGTAGTAAAGCACTAGTTTTGAGAAGAAAAGCTCAGACAGTGCCCAGTCCTTGAGTTCAAGCACCAGGACCAACACACACATAAGTGTCATAAGTCCTTAGATCAGAATTTAGAAGCATTGAAAGAGTTATTGCAAGTTAACATTCATTTCAGCACTTAAGCCTTAAAAATTGCCTCTAGTTAGTTATTCTTCTTTGTCCTTTCTTCTTCCTTATTCTCTTCTGGACACTGAAGATTATAAGCCTTCTCTTTTTCTTTAGTTATGGAAGAATTGGCTAAATTAAAATGTTCTTGACTTTTCACACCTGTAATTCCAGCACTCTGGAGGCTGAGGCAAGGGAGATCATTATTTCAAGGCCAGTGAGACTACACAGATGATTCTAAAAAAAAAAAAGAAACAAAAAAGCCAGGGGCCAGTGGCTTACACCTGTAATTCTAGCTACCCAAGAGCCTGAGAATTTGAGGACTGAGATTCATAAGTAACCTGGGCAAAAAAATTATGAGACTCCCATCTACAAAAATACCAACAAAAAGCTAAGATGGGGGTCAGAGGCATAAGTAGTGGAGCACTAGCCAAACAAGCATGAGTCCCTGAGTTCAAGCTCTGGTACAGGATCAAAAAAAGACAACCGACTTTTTCTTTATTTTTGGCAGTATTGGTGTTTGTACTCAGGCCTTACACTTGCTAAGCAGGTACTCTACCACTTATACCATTTTGCCAGTCTCTTTTAGTTTTGGTTATTTTCAGGATACAGTCTTGAAAATATGCCTGTGCCAGCCAGGACTGCAGTCCTCTTATTTTTTTTTTATAGTGGTACTAAAAAGACAGTTTTTTTTTCTTTCTTTTCATAATATATGTAGAAAGCATGGTTTCTCTTTTTAGGGCTTATTTATGCTTCTGCTAGTCTTGGAAACTTTCGTACTCTGGCTGGCCTTGAACTAGTCCCCTCATCTCTGTCACTCAAGTATCTAGAGTTATAAATATCACAATCTTGACATTTAAATTATGGTATAGAATATCCTGGGTGGATTTCTTCTAGTCCCCTCTCTTTTTCAGT